AGTGGAAACACCTGGGGAAAAACAGCTGACACAAATAATCATAATGCCACAGGGGAAGCAAAACTAAACACAATGAACATGGAAACAAGACTTTCAAAGTAAAACAGGAAAAATGGAGAGACATGAACTGGGAAACACAAGCTTGACACAAGAGACAGCGAGAGGGAGTGAGAGATTCATTCATTTTTCACAATAAAACAACAAATCAAAGGAACAATAAACAAGTAGTGGGTAGGAGTGTGTTTGCCATCAAATACCCAGAACAATTCAAAACAGTTACTTGATAATACGACAGAGTGCAAGCACATAAAAATGATACCAATAGATTCAAGATGAATTTTAAAACAGATGAAGAGAAGTATTTCTTACAGATTCTTAACAAGTTGATTCTTACACTCATGCGCCTTAACGGTAATATTATTAATATAATTACAGTTCCATACTTAGATTGCCATAGATTAGATATAACAGACACACAAACAAATGTGAATATTGCATCATCATTATCATCACAGTCATGGAGTTGTTTGCTGGTAAAATCCTCAGGTCTTCATTACACCTCGTATTAAAGTATACAATAGGCACATGTGTTTTAGTATCAGTTTTCAGGCCCCTCTTCTGTGGAACCAGCTTCCAGTTTGGATTCAGGAGACAGACACTATCTCTACTTTCAAGATTCGGCTTCAAACTTTCCTTTTTGCTAAAGCATATAGTTAGGGCTGGACCAGGTGACCCTGAATCCTCCCTTAGTTATGCTGCAATAGACGTAGGCTGCCGGGGGATTCCCATGATGCACTGGGTGTTTCTTCTTCGCTCACTATGTGTTAACAGACCTCTCTGCACTGAATCATATCTGTTATTAACCTCTGTCTCTCTTCCACAGCATGTCTTTATCCTGTCTTCCTTCTCTCACCCCAACCAATCACAGCAGATGGCCCCGCCCCTCCCTGAGCCTGGTTCTGCCGGAGGTTTCTTCCTGTTAAAAGGGAGTTTTTCCTTCCCACTGTCGCATACACACACACAGACAAACAAATTGAGTTCATGCCTCAATGTGTATATTATTTTCTGTTTCTTAGCATGTGGCTAAAGTGCAACACTAAGTGGATCAGCAGTGAGCTGGTGGATGTTCAGAGTTGGTGTCCACATAAATATGGACAACACATTCTACAACATCAGGAAAAAGCTGGAGCAGTGTTTCAGAAAGTCTGTATGAAGTTTGCAGGGTGTGTCTTCATGGGTGGGTCCTCTGAGGGGGGTCATTACCGTCCTCAGCCCTCTGAGACCAGAGCTGAGGTCCGCTCCGGCTGATTGGTCTCTCTGGTCAAAAGCACTCACAGATAGTTGCATCAGAGGGAGTTGGAGGAAACTGTGGCTAATGAGGAGACACCTCAGGGACAGAAATGTTTACATGCACAGGTGACCTTTAATCTACCTGTTACAGTGATGATGTAACTCTTACAGCATCAGCAGGTTTATGTCAACAGAAAAGTTCTCTCACTTTGTTCAAAGTCTTAAATTCATCTTTTGTGGAAATAACTAAAAGTCAACTCTCGGTCCAAGACGGCACTGATCCCAGTGCCACGTTAGCTTCCTGTAACATGTTTCACGTTAGTGTCAGAGAAGTGTTAGCCAGAAAAACCTAAAGCTGACGCAGCAGGCAGTGTTTGTGTTCATATATCAGATGTTTTATTCATGTGGAATCAGAGTGACTCTTCAAAGTTCTTGTAGCCATGGAGACCGTGGTTTCTGCTGGTCACTGAGTAATTCGGTGTGACAGCAGCTTGCTGCACAATGCTTTCAGGCCACACCACCATCGCTTCCTTTCTTCTGGCTGTGGTCACGGTGCGTCAGCTGATGCTGCAGCGAGCATTAATGCAGTAACTTTACTGAAAGTTCAGCTTTTCACTGATAGGTGGAAGAAGATGTAAGAAAGAGTGGAGGTTCAGGTTTTCTGAGGTTAAGGCTATTAAAATGTAATATTCTGATTCATTTTAAAGATTTTCTTTTTTGGATCCAAACTTTATCCACGTTCTGTTTGACGCTGGTGCGTTTAACATTTTTTTCTTATTATGCCTTCCCTGTCCAGCACTGTAGCAATCAAAACTGTTGTCTGAAGGCCAAGAAAAATGCCCAACAGGTTTACTTTCCCAAGTGGACCTTTTCCTATACTTGATTGTCATAGTTGATTCACTCTTTATTATTTATTTTTATTTTATTATTACAATCAGAAAGAATAAACTAGAGGAGAAGAGGGACAAAGAGAAAAGACACTGAAAATCTTATTCACCACCTGCTGAGAAAAAAACACAAGCAAAAAGCAGAGTAGGGAAACTACAACAACTAGCATAAGCACAGGTAACAGCAAATAATAAATACTGAATCGTACTGAGCAGCACACAAGACTGACAATGCATGATATGTTTGGAGGCAGCAGCCAGCCAAGAGAGTGTGTGTCTGTGAATACCTTTTTGTCCACCTGTGTGTGTGAGAGCGCTTGTATCCATAAGGTTTCTCCATGTAAATGTCTAATAGTAGATCGGTAGGTGTGGGGAGTCATAGCCCTGCCCCCAGGGACATGAAGCAGGCATGGAAGAGATCCAGGCCCCAGACATCTAGAGGCCGTCCAGAGTGCGGGAGCCCACGGAGGACCACCAGAGCGCCAGCAAAGCCACCCTCCTTGAAAGAGCTGTGAACAGTTCCAGATGAGGGGTCACCCAGCAGCCACGGCGCAGAAGCCACGGGGGGCTGCTGGGTGAAATGCCCGCAGGCTCTGCCTGCAGCCAGCTGTGCCAGAGAGGACTGAGCCCCAGGCCCTGAAGGGGCCCGACCGAGTCACAGGCGCCAGGCCCCTCCAAGCAGCCACCAGGAATGAGCTGTTACATACCTGAGGGCCCAACACCGGACACCAAAAACCACCAACGCACCGACGCCTGAGGACATCAGCCACTGGCAGGGAGTGTGATGGGGGGAGATAGGCTTCCACACTTTGGAGGGCCGGAGATGTTCACAGAGAGGTGGAGTCTAAGACAAAAACATAACATATAAACACAGACATAAACGCGCATTCCCACCCTCATGCACACATATACAAGCAGAGAAGCCAGCATCCCGGATCCAGACCAGATGGCCAACTACTCCTCCCAGCCCCCTGCCCCCGATGGCGAACAGAGAACGGAGTTATGAAGACCCCATACCTCTCTCTGCCTGTTCATATGTGGTCTTGCTGCGTGCTGCATTTAAAACAGGTGGCCTCTCCTGCACCTCAGTGACATGCCTGCACTCCAAGGTCCTGCATGCCTGGGGGGTTTGATGGAGTGGGAAGAGGGAGGCAGTTGGGGGCAGTTTAATAACACACTTTAATAAATGACAGTTTTAACCTAATTAAAAAACAAATACGTTGATTTATTGAAATAAGTAAACCAGTTAAAGAAAACCAGGAAAATGTAAGATAATAACAAAAAAAATCACATGTAGTGAATAAATCTACAGGCTAACACGTGATAAATCAAGTTTGTTTATAAATAATCTGTATTTACAACAACAACGTGGATTTTTAAAATAAAAAATGTTTTAATCATGTAAATTTCCTGCACCTGTCACAGACGTCCACATGACGATCCAGTCAAAGCTGCCCAAGATGTTGAACTTCATGTTGTGTCACGGTTGGACATCTAAAATTTGGATGCAGTTTGGACGTCGTACAGATCTCCTGAACTGGTCATGTACCGAACACGATGGTCTGCACGTTTATCCGCCGTCTAGTGTTTGGTGGGGGGAGGAACTTCTCTGTGGACGGCGCCGTCTTCAGTTCTTCTTTCTCTGCTTTTCTGCTTCTTGGACTGCCTGCCTCCTTCAGGGTTTCACTCATTGCTCCACAATTCGTGGCAGCAGTTCCTAAAGTTGCTCTAGCTGATTATACCTCTGATACCTGAAAACTAAAACTTCTAACAGTCATGTTTCTGTATTGTATAATGTGCCTTTCATGGCATCAAGGAGGTTTGTAACGTATACATCTTGTATGTTGTTATCTCCTTCGTATAAAACGTCTTATTGCCCATAAAAGAGGAAGTTCACTCAGGCCCTAAAACTTCTCCTTTTTCTGAGGTCATATTATAATTATTGACAGTGTTATGTTATAAGGCCTGTGCCAGTAAAACAGCAGGAAGCACAGATACAGGCCTTTGCCATCGGGAGGGATCGATTTCCACCCATGTAGCCTTTTTTTCTTTGTCCTTGCATGTGAAGCTGGGAGTTTTGGGGAGTCCAGTCCTGAAACTGAGCCATCACGTCGTGGGTGTATCACCCGCTCTGCTGTATAGTTGACCCACATCCTGATTCCCAGGGTGCGGCTTTAATGAGGTCCCACCTATGGAGCGTTTGTTTGTGCGGGATCCGATGACGACCTTCGGTCAACCTGCTGGATCGTACATCAGAGGATTATAGTTACACCTGGGCCTATCAGGGCCTCCTCCACTCACCTGAGCAGCTTTCTTTTTTGGCTTTAACTGACTTATTCTGATTTTGTTCTCATGTTGTGTTTTATTTAAATGATATTTCTCCTTCGTGTTGTTGGTTTGATGTTTCAGTAACAACCTGTAAAAACTGTACTTGTAACCGCACACGCTGCGGAGACCGTCGTGCACCACTGAGGAAGAGGAGGAGGAGGAGGAGGAGATGAGGGTCTGACATCATTCTGCTGATCACAAACAGCTGCAAACTGTAAGTGTGTGTGTGTGTGTGTGTGTGTGTGTGTGTGTGTGTGTGTGTGTGTGTGTGTGTGTGTGTGTGTGTGTGTGTGTGTGTGTGTGTGTGTGTCTGCCCTGTCATCTGACACCTGTGAGGCTGCAATGAGGTCACATTTTCAGTACAGTCAAAAACATGAAATGCAGACTAACACACACACACACACACACACGTGGGTGGGGCACCGGGTGGGCGTGGTCCAGGTGTTTTATTAGCTGCTGTGAGAGGTGAACTCAGAGAAAAGGCAGAAGGCGAGAAACACGACAAGGTGAGTTTCTTTAAAACCTTTAAACCAGGAAAAAACGAGTGACTATTTTTACTAATTTGTATAAAATGCATTTTCAAACACTAGACGACAAACACAGGACACCAAAGCATGTTTGTAACATTTCAAAACGAATTAATGACACAAAACCAGACTTAACTAAATAATATTTAACACGAAAACAGTTTATTGTACTTAAATATAGACATAATATAATTTGATAACACGGACAGATTTTAGGCAGATCGTACTGAATAAAACCCTCTTTGAACAGATTTGAAAAGACAGAAAGTTTCCGGAAGATAAAATCTTATTTTAAAAGTGACCCGAGGACTCCAGGGCACTGTTTTTTCAAATAAAAATGAAGATGTATTCTTTATTTTCGTGGCAAATGTACAAGCCCTCATCGGTGAGTTAACCAGAGTTCATGGAAGCTCCTGACCTCCGTCGCTGGCTGACCGTCCTTTAACTCCCCGATGAAATGCTCACATCCTTCCAGGAAACTCTAACACAGCTTCAGAGCCCTGCACAAACTGACATCAGCAGCAGGAGGAAGTTCAAGCATCTCCTTTTTCTCTGCAGACCATGGTGACCTTTCTTCTTCATGCCCTGCTGGCGGTGATGTTCCTTCCGGTTGTCATGTTAACAAATGGGACCCAGTCCCCTGTCCTCACCTTTGACCCAGCAGCTGTCAGTGACCAGGATGCTTATTGCCAGATGCTCCTTCAGTCCAGCGTCCCCGAGCAGCAGATCCCCTGGTTTTGTGTCTGCACTCGGTGCCAGAACACCAGAGGGCCCAAAGGAAACTGCGGAGACGAAGGGCTGCCAGGTAACCTGGATCTATATCATGACATTACAGACCACACAGAACACTTTTACATTATTTTATTTCCATCAGACCGAAAATAAATAAAGAAAAACATGATGAATATGAGAAGCTTACAGATTGTGTATCAGTCTGCACACATGCTTAAATTAACATGATTTACCTCGGCCTCTGTTGGACAGTGAATGAACTGCAGCTATTGTTGCTTTGTCGGTTAATCAGTCTGTTGCTCTCCCCGTCAGGTATTCCTGGTAGTGCTGGGGAAAGAGGCATGTCTGGGTTCAGAGGTCCTCCAGGTTTCATGGGCAGCCAAGGAGCCAAAGGTTACTGATGGGGAATGCTGTGAAGCAGGCTCAGTAGTCCCAATATTTCCATTTTTCCTTCTTTAAGAGTCTCTCTCAAGTAGAAAAAAAACGAATTTTGCAAGATGTGGCTCACTGATTGGACACTGATTCTTTTTACCAAAGCAATCTTTGTACCTGGCCAAGCATCTCATTCCTATGATTGGAAATCTAAATGGGATTTAAAAAAACATTTTATGTGAAGGAATGTCAAACTACTTTACACTGTGAGCCACAAACAGGACAATTTGAATTTCAGAATCAGAATCCCTCACGAAATTATGTTATGTTAAATTATGTTTCAGTGCTCCCGAGAAGAGAAGCTTTCCTTTGTCTCAGTTTAGAGAAGTTTAACTCCACATTTAATCTGTAATTTATGTTAATTTTCTTAATATGGGAACAATAAGTTTAATTTAAACTGTATGTGTCCGTTTTTCTACAGGACAAAGACGTGGCCATAGTAAATGACTGTTAGCACGACTGCTTGGACTTAAACTATAATAAATAAATGTTCCAGAAAGAGTTCTGATAGCTCATTCTCCACACTGTCCTGTTATTATATAAATAATAATTTCTCTAGTAGATCATGAAAAATCAGGAACTCTTCTGTCATTTAATTGTTTATCTATTACGTTGTATCACCTGAACAGCCATTATTATTATTATTATTTACTTTATTTTAATCTATTTGAACAGTTTTTCCCAAAATACCTACAGCCAATCAAAAACACCACTTCAAATTTGAATCTTTTATAGCATTTACCACGAGAGCAAAAAGAAACACAAATTCCTGGTTTAGCTCTTAAATATTCCTGCATGCTGACTGTGTTGGTCGCCCCGAAAGCTGCTGTGAGAGGCTGAAGTTAAATTATTGGATGATAGATGATCAGTTCCTGTTACGAGCAGTGGAAACTATAAAAGGTTTGAAGCTGCTCCTGTTTCTGCATCATTGACTGTCTTCTCTTTATGAACTTGTCTGAAAAATACTTCATTTAACCACTAGGGGCCGCTGTAGTAAAAAGAAATGTGTGTTATCTTCTTAGTGCCCTAAACTGCTTGGACTCTACTTGTGATTTTCTGTTTTGCTATAACTAAATGTTTACCATGGTGTGAGTCACCTGACTTCATCTGTTTTGTGTTCAAACTTTAGGACAAAAAGGCCATGATGGGGATAAGGGCGACTGGGGACCTCAGGGGCCTGCAGGACTCAGAGGACTGCAGGGCTTCAAAGGTGAGTGATGAGGCAGTCATCGGGTGCTTCACCCATCGAGCCTCAGAACACCTCCTTATCCTATTTTTCTTGGTCTGCAGGTGAAAAAGGGGAGCAAGGTTTTGTGGGTCTTCAGGGGGATCCGGGTCCTAGAGGAGATGATGGTGTCTGTCCTGATAATTGCAAGTCCATCCCTGGAACTCAGGGACCAACTGGTTTGATAGGCCCTGCAGGATCCAGAGGTCTACCTGGCACCCCGGGGATGCCGGGTCCCAAAGGTGTCATGGGTGAGATGGGAGAGTTAGGGCCCCCTGGTGTTCCTGGCTCTGTGGGTGAGAAAGGAGAGCTGGGGCCACAGGGGGAGTGCAGATGTATAGATGGAGCCAATGGACATAAAGGCGAAAAAGGAGATACAGGAGTCAAAGGTGATGTGGGACCAATGGGCACCGTGGGCCAAAGAGGGCCCCAGGGGATAAAGGGAGACATGGGGCACATAGGGATGATGGGTCCTCCAGGTCCCTGCATGCCCGCCATCCAGTCGGCCTTTGCTGCAGGCCTGACGACCAGCTTTCCCTCACCTAACACCCCCGTGGTTTTCTCCTATGTTTTCTACAATATCCAGCAGAATTACAACCCCAGCACCGGCATCTACATCGCCCCCATCAATGGCACCTATGTCTTCAGCTATCACGTCACCGTCTTTGACAAAGTCCTGAAAATCGGCCTCTTTCGTAACTTCATGCCAGTTATTAAAACCACAGAGGCCAGCCAGTTAGCGACCACCTCACAGTCAGTTATCCTTCACCTGCTGAGGGGAGATTGGGTGTGGATTCAGGTGAAGGATATGGTAACCAACGGCATGTATGTCAGCAATGAGGCCAGCAGTGTTTTCTCTGGCTTCTTGCTGCACCCAGATTCATGTGATTTGGCTTTACTCAGATCCCCCATGCCCCTCAAGAAGGTTCCCGATGATGGATACACCTGGGGCGGCACCCCCCAACCCTGATCAAGTTACACTCATGTTACACAAGGCAAAAATATTTCCCACCAATCAGACCGACACAAACATAGTGTAACCACAGACGACGTGCTTGAACATCAAATGCTCCGTCAGGTTTTTGCACTTTGTGAACCATCCTTTAGCAACCTTATGTTTTAGACCAATAGGGTGACTTGTGGTGTTGTGGTCTCATTAATTTTGGAGCTTTTCTGTTTTCTTTGTATTTCTAGAAATTACAGATGGTATCTGATGGTGAAGCTTCTCTCCGAGCCTCTGCTGTAATAACATCCTGTATTGTTGGCGTGTCCTCATTTCCTCCATGGTTTCAGTAGCGCTGGAGTATTTATCTCCCCTCTTATCTCTCTGTCTTTGTCTGTAAACTGGTGTGAGCTCCAAACTCTGAGATTTACAGGCAACGAGTTACCTGATGATCCCCTGACACCGACCCAACTGGGCAGGGTCTCCCAAAACAGCTCCGCTCTGCTCCAGACAATAAAACCGAGACAACACGAATCTCTGTCGCGCCCTGATGACTCAGCCAGAGCTGTTCTCTGTTTTCCAACAGGTCATGCATCAGAAACATCAGCTCTGAAGCATCTTCACATGCAAAGATTTCTGTGAGACGCACTGCTCATTAACAGCTCAGGATCTTAAAATTCCCAGAGGAAAAAACTTGTATTTTAATATTGGAACACTTGCATTGCAGGATGATTGACTTAAAACTTGAAGATGTTAAAGTGAAAGCTAAGGGGATTTGGGAGCTCATGTTGCTGTCTTCAGATAACATTACACAGTTTCTCTCTCAGAGTTTATTGATCAGTGCTAACTGGCGTTGAGTCTTTTAAAAGAAAAGCTTGTATCGCTGTGTGTTATTAGGTCCAGGTGTTGGTGTCATCAGGTTCCTCACACAAAGCTAAGAATAAATAAACTGGGAGCTCAATATATAAAACACAGTTTATTTAATAAATACATTAATTTCAGAACATACATGTAAAAAAGCCTCCCGCATCCAAACCCAACAGGAAATCAGCCATTTTGAATTCCATTTTGGCATCTTTGCTAATAAAGTTTTCTTAATTGAACTTTTATTTAACAGGAAGTCAATTAAAATTTAAATATTTCTCTGCATATTTCTGTCCATCAAGATACATTTTAACAAACTCCTGCTTGAGTTGTAACAGATCAGTTTTCAGAAGACTATGAAGAGTCTGATGTGCCGACCTCTTCATGCTGTGATGGAGGTGTGTCATGGGAACTGTGGCAAATTTTGATATTTAGATATGAAATTTTAAGTTGCTGTGTATAATAAATTGTTCAGTTGACCCCATTGCATGCGAGTCCCAGCCTGAGCACAGCTACCCGCCAGTATTCAGTTACAGTCACAGTGCCACCTAGTGGCAACAGGGTCATTGCCATATCATCCAGTGTATGTAGCAGCCAACGAGCCCCAACCCTGCCTACAGGAAGTGCCTGAAACACATGCAGCATGCTGACGGTCACTGCAGCTGTAACGTTTCGCTGTTCTTTTCATCTCTATTCAAACAAAACAGTTTCAAGAGCTTCATTCTTGTGGTCCACATTAGAAAATAAATCATTAGCAGGTGGGGTGATTCTAGTTCACGCTGAAATAAAAATCAAATATTAGAGATGTTGTGGGTTTTGGTTTGTGATTGTCCTCTGTATGAATACTTGTGTGTTGTTAAATTTAAAAATCCTCTATTAAAATAAGAAAGAAAGGAATCTGTCATTTCATGTCTGAATGAAAACTAACTGCACATTCAACAAGAACAATGTCAGATGTCAGAGCTGGACTCCAGACGAGTCCACCCGAGCTGTCTGTTGTGTCTCTACAAAGTAAACCTCGACTAAAATTAATTCACATTCACGAAGAAACAGTGTCTGAAGGCTGAGCACATGTTAAGCATGTGTGATGCTTCAGCTGGCTGCCTGCCCCAGTAAGAAAGTTGCTTGTATTTTTCCACCAACAACACGTTGGTTCAGGCTTCATTCATTTCTGTTCAACATCGACTGCCAGGGTTGGCATTGTTGGCTGCACAGCAGTGTTTAATTTTCAACAGATTATGTTCGTCTGTGATGATGCGACTCTGACACAGTGACAATCAGTGATGGGAATAACAGCGTTACTAGTAATCTAACCAATTTCTATTTCTATCATTACAACCCCGTTACCGTTACTAACAAGAAAATGCGGTCGCGTTACTATTTTTCAACAAACAGGCGGTTGAAGCTGTCTTCAGCTTACCGCAGGTTATATTAGTTGCACGGAAGTAGCTGTAAGTAATCTGGGCGCTACAGCGGCAATCACTTTCTGGCTGACAATCACTTTTTGGCACAACACCTGGAGCTCAGGGGGCAAAACAATCGCACCAGTGCTGCTGTTTGACTGAGGAAGAATAAAGTAGCCGTGGTAAGGCAAGGCAAATTTATTTGTACAGCACAATTCAACAACAAGGTGATTCAAAGTGCTTTACAGAGACATTAGAAACAAAAACAATTAAAAAGCATGATTTAAAATTGATTAAAACAAGCAAACAAACAAACAAACTAATTAACAAATAAACAAACAAACAAACAAACAAAACAGTATATAAAATCAAAACAGATAAAATCAGAACAGTAGATAAAATCAGTAGTTAATGTAAGTTTTGAAATTTAAGCTTAAAAGTGTGGATTTGGGGGGGCGCTAGCGAGCCGGCAATGGAGTAGGACGTGTTTCTGAAGGCTCCCGCTGACCGAATTTCAGAAATAGTTTTTTTTTTTCAACCTACGAAGCCTCATTTTATAACACAGGGGAAGCTAACAGTTTTATACACTGTATTAAAGCTTCATTCGAGACAAAATGGCATCTAACCTAAGGAAATACAAGTACACCGGAGGAACAGCGGCTAGGCCCGGCACATCCTCGGGCAAGGATACCAATGGTAGCCCAAGGGCGGCGCCCGGCTCAGCGACCATTGAGGAACGGGCTCAGCGGAGCGATAGGCGCCTTGTGGACACTGATGCCCTGAAATTGGAGCTTCTTCAATCCATCAAAGACGATATCAGCGTGGCATTAAAAGAAGAACTCAGGAATGCACTGAAAGAAGATTTTGATAACATTAGGGCTGACGTGCAAGAAGTGAGAAATGAGATTGCTAACAATACGGCGGCAGCGCGCGCTGAAATGGATGGAGTTAAGGCCACGGTGAAAGAAGTGGAGGACGGGCTGTCAATGTGGAGCGATGAGGTGGTCACCTTGCAATCTACAGTGAAGACTTTGAGGAAGGAGCTATCTGACCTGAAGGATAAATGCGATGACATGGAAGGCAGGATGCGGAGATCTAATATCCGTATCATAGGGGTCCCGGAGGGCCCGGATTCGAGCTCCACCACGGCCGTATCCGCGCTACTCCGTGAAGCACTGGGTATGGAAAAAGATGTTATTGTCGACCGCTCACACAGGAGTCTGGCCCCGAGAAGGCCGGGTGGTAACCCGCGGGCCATCATAGCCAAGCTTCATTACTACCAGGATTGTGTGGAGATCCTACGCCGTGCCAGGAAGAATTTCTTTGTTTCCGATGTCATTGCTGTGTATCCTGGTGGTGTGGATCAGTGAATTGATGTCTTGTTCACTCGTGGCATACAACAGGGTTCAGGTGATGCAACTTGTGGGCTGTCCTCTTCCTTAGAGACAGGGTAAGGTGTTCCTTCATTTGAGAGGGAATCAGAGTACTTGTCCACATTTAATGAAGCCAGTTGTGGTGGTTGCTAGTAATCTTATACTGATTCCTTCCTGGAATCTGCAAGAATAAACTCTAAATACTTCATTTTTACTATAAAAGTTTTTGGGCCCCAGTTAAACAGTTGGCTGCCCAGAATTTAACAATACTGTTTTTCTATTATTGGGCATGTTCATGAGGGGAGGGCATGGCGTCAGCAGATTTCTCTCTCCACCTGTCCGTCCTTTTGTCAGGTGTAGAAGAGCAGCTTCCCGTGTGGATCACAGACACCTTCACACTGCTCTGTGAAGCTGATGTTTGTTGTCCCTCTTACAGGATGACTGCTGCTGTCATTTGACTTGCTCTTGTTGATGAGGAATCTGTGCTGATGACCTGGAGTTGTTTTTCTCACTCACTCTCACTCTCTGTTTGACTGTTTCACAGTTAAGGGTGTAACAGAGTCTGCCTCAGTGAGAGCAGACTGACAGAGCCTCAGACGGTTTCTGCTGTTTATTAAATGAGTTGCTGAGTCCAGCTTCATTGCACAGATGTAAAGTGCTTCTTTTCCTCATGCTGCAAGCTTATGATGTTTAAAGAAACTCATCTGTTTACTGTTGATTGTCTTAATTAATGACTTTTTATGTTGAGAGGTAAAGACAGAAATGCTGTGTGCAGTTTTAATTGCTGATTCCCTGTTTTGCAACCCGACAGTTGAAATAGAAAGAACTTTGTATATAAATTACTCATAGGATTAAAAGTAGTTTTTTTCCCTTTGAAATCACAGCAATTAAATAAGTTTTTTCTGCAGATGTTAAAATGATAATTGTGTATTCCACCTCAGCTGGATCTTTTTGTTTGTTTGTTTGATTAGAAAAAGAAAACATTAAAAACTGAGATTAGGTCCTCATGTGCTTTAAGTTTCTATGCCTGATGGTAAGGTGGCACCTGAGATCATGTCTTCTCTTTGTCGAGCCTTTTTTCTTTATGTAAGAGCTTCTTTAAGCGTCTAAAGCAGATCTGAATGAAAATGTCAGAAAACATGAAGAACGGAGGTTAAATGTTGATCTCTTTTATGTCACTGTGGTTCACTTTTGTATAGGATGAGCTCCTCAATGTGAACTCTGTTTAGTCTTTCTGAAGTGAGACAAGTACAAGTTCCCATCCTTCACTGTGCGATTCATTGAGTTTTGTTTTCCTTGCCTCCCTTAAGATTGAATTTATGTTTTTCTATGGTTACTCTGTTTAAAGAATAGTTTTGAAGTGAATACAGACTCGGTGCAGCTTGTGTTTAAACTCTGACATGATGAAGAGTTGATGATCCTTTAGCAGCTCGTTGCAGGATGGAGAATAACTTTGAAATTGTGTTTGTGCTTCAGGGTCTGAACGACTCGCTGACAAACCGTCAGATCTACTTTGCCTTCGCTCTGATGTCGTACCTCTTCACCGTGTCTGTAAACCTGACCCTCATCATCACCATCAGCCTGGATAAAACGCTCCACGAGCCGATCTACATCTTCTTGTGCAGCCTTTGTTTTAATGAGATCTGTGGAGCTTCGAGTTTCTACCCAAAGCTGCTTCATGACCTTCTGACCAACTCTTATGTCATCACGTACACGGCCTGTTTGGGGCAGATGTTTGTCACTTATAGTTATATTTTCTCTGAGTGTACCAGTCTCACTGTCATGGCGTATGACCGCTACATCGCCATCTGCAAACCACTGCAGTACCGGATGCTGATGACAGCTCAGAAGGTAGCCCAGCTTCTGATGCTCACCTGGTGCTTCTCAGTTTTTGAAACGGCAGTGGGCACCGTCCTGACCGCCAGGCTGCCGCTCTGCGGACGCCACATCCCCAAGATATTCTGCACTAACTGGGAGGTGGTCAAACTGTCATGCTCTGACTCGACCCTCAACAATATCTATGCGTTCATGTTGATATTTTCACACCTGTCACAGACTGCACTAATCATGGTGTCGTACGTCCACCTGATACGAGCTGCCATCAGATCTCAAGCCGACCGCAGGAAATTCATGCAGACGTGTCTGCCACACCTCATTACACTGCTGGTCTTCACCACCTCACTGATGTTTGATACCATGTACTCTCGTTACAGCGGCGGCAGTACAATGAAGGCCCTGCAGAATGCATTAGCTGCTCAGTTCCTGGTGGTCCCACCCCTCGTCAATCCCATCATCTATGGCTTGAACCTGCAGCAGATCAGGTCCAGGATGGTCCACAGGTTCACCCACCGGACTGGGACATTCAGGAAAAACTAAGCCATGTTAATGAAATCAAACATGAAGAAAACATAGGAAGATGAAGTTATTTTCTAATCTTCTGTTCAAGTCAACCAAAATATGTGGATAGAATTCAGTTAAAACTAATAAAGTCCAATCCTAAAATGTCACTTTTGGTTCTTAGTACTTTAAGTTAAAGTTTATGTTTCATTGTTTTAGTGTCCTGTGCTCGAAGGGTCAAAGAATTATCACTCTGTTCCTTTCATTTGTTTAAAGGAATCTGTGTAAAGATTGGTTAGATTCTAGTAAATGCTAAAACTCCTTGTTACTTCCCACCTTTAAACCGTTGTACTCACACCGGCTGCAATGAAACTGGATGAAAAAATGTTATGAAATCCACATGAAAAGCACCATCCCAGCCACGTTGGGCACCCTGCAGCACACACACTTTTAGTGTCACTGCTGCCCTTCATACTGCCGTCACTAGAGGGCAGCGACACTTATGTATGAACACTGCTCATCAACTTCTCTTCAGTATCCAGTACTGTGATACCACACAGACTAACTCTGGATACTGTAGCTCCTATGAAAACCTCAAATCAGAAGTACCTGACTCCGTGGTATAATTCTCAGACACGTAGCCTAAAGCAGACGACTCGTAAGCTGGAGAGTCACAAATTTAGAGGATCATCATTTAGCCTGGAGAAATAGTTTGCTGCTTTATAAGAAAGCCCTCCGCAAAGCCAGAACATCTTACTATTCATCACTGATTGAAGAAAATAAGACCAACCCCAGGTTTCTCTTCAGCTCTGTAGCCAGGCTGACAAACAGTCAGAGCTCTGTTGAGCCAACCATCCCTTTAACATTAACTAGTAATGACTTCATGAACTTCTTCACTAATAACATTTTTATCATTAGAGAAAAAATTACCAGTAATCATCCCACAGATGTAATATTATCTACAGCTACTCTTAGTACCATTGATGTTAAGTTAGACTCTTTTTCTCCAATTGATCTTTCTGAGTTAACTTCAATAATTACTTCCTCCAAACCATCAACGTGTCTTTTAGACCCCATTCCTACAAAACTGCTCAAAGAAGTCCTGCCATTAATTAATGCTTCGATCTTAAATATGATCAACCTATCTCTAATGATCGGCTATATATATAAAGTGGAACCCTGACTTACGAACACCCCATTTAACAAAAAATTCATGTCCAAAAGTCTCCTTCTATTTCAGTCACATAGTTATAAGTGCACTCACTGGAAATATCTGCTGATAAGTTCCACTTTGTTCTTACTGTTTGCTGCGGTGATGACCTCACATGCTTTTATGACGGTCCTGCCGTATCACGAGTCCTGGGAGCACTAGGCATGTTTTTCTCCATGGTCGTGTCCAAATTCATGGGCTGCTTCCTCCTGAGGACGTATTTGTAGACCGATTACGTCACAGCGACGCGCCGAAGGCTGTCCAAATTCGTAGACTCCTCCGAATGCAGCCGACAAATGCGTCCTCATTTTCCCCGAATTTGAAGGATGGGGTCGGGTGTGTCCTTCGTGGCCCACCATATCCCAGAATTCATAGCGCGGCCCAGCCAAACTCCAGTTTCCAACGATGGCGGCCGCTACTAAGTTTTAAAATTACTCTTACTAATCTTTCTGGGTCACAAAATAAACTTTTAACATATTTTCAGGCGAGAAAGTAGCTGTGTAAACATCAAATATCTGCTCGGTTTATCAAGATATCGCATATTTGCAAAAGTGCTTCGACGTTTTCGGAGACGTCTGTTACCCACCAGCTTGATAGCTAGCCGGGAGCTCGAGGGTCACTGGAGCCGCCGAGAACGGCACAACTCCCGGCACATCATGTTCAGATCATCGCGGACTTTCACTACTCAGGTTAAACGTGATGTATAACTCACTTAGACAACCTAAAGATGTTATTGTTGGGCTTTTTTCAGTGTTTTATTTGTTCGTGAGTAAATCAGTTTGGCTGAGATTAAAGTTATTAGATTCGATAAAATAAAACTTTATTAATCCCCCGGGTGGGTTCTTCCTTGGTGTTTACACAGCTGAATAAAAGTCAAACAGAAAACTAATTGAACAGAAGTGTGAGACGGTCGAGAATTTACTCCAGTGTCCTGTTATATTTTAGATAGCAAGGAGCAGACGGCTGACAGTGTACAGGGACAGAGAAGGCCTATTTTTAAGAGTTCAAAAGGCAAGGGAAAATTGGGACAGTGTAAAACTGTGACCAAAGCAGAAAAAGCTGCGGGTACTCATTATAATTTGCCTTTAGTGGCTGGTGCAAAAAATGAACCAGTGTACCGCGCATACAAAGTAAGAGATTTGGAGGCATTGGTTAAACAGCTTCCACCTATAACTGGGGGAGGAGCAAGGTGGTTGCGTGAATTAGGCAGACTAACAGAAGGAGAGGAGCTTGCGATTGGCGATTTTCGCGCCATTTCTGCGCGGTGTATGCTCGGTGGTGGGCTAGCAGATGTAGAGGCTATAGCTCGCACAACTCGCCATGCAAATGATTTGCCTTACCATGAAGTGCAATGTGCTTTGTCTGACGCAGTCCGTGAAAAGTACCCAACCCCTAATACAGGAGCCATACCTAAAATAATTTGGGACCCCCAAAACACACCTAGAGAGTTTTTAGAAAAAGCCAGAGATCAGTGGTTGTTAGAAACAGGTACCCATCCGGGTAGAGAAGGTGAACATCGGGCATGGTTTCGCTCAGCGGTGCTGGCAGGGCTGCCAAACCAGGTCACAGAAGATCTACAGAAAAACCCAGATTTTGCCGTAGCAGATTCGGTGCAGTGGGAAAGACACGTCTCACATCGTTTGCAGCTGGAGCAGGACAGGGCGAACAAGCAGATAAAAGAGTTGGAGGAGGCACAAGCGTCTCTACTCAAACTACAGTTGGTGGAGGCCAGAAACAAAGCCAGCGAAAAGAAAAAAGAGGAAAAAGAAAAAACAGAAAAAATTATGATAGTTGCGACCCAGCCTGGTCCTGGGCCTGAATGGCCAGATAGTGGCCCGGGTCCCTGCACTAATGACGGATGGCCCGCCAATGCACCAAGGCAGAACCAACCCACAGGGAATTGGGGAACCGGTGGATCATACAGAGGGCGTGGTGGCTCAGCGGGGGAGTACAAAGAGCTCGTGACACGGGGAATCTCAGCAGTGTGCCTTGGAATGTCTGTTGGAGGTGTGGAGCAGAGGGTCATTGGAGCAGAAATTGCCCAGAACGTCGTCAGAACAATCGAAGAAGAGGCTACCAATCCCAGGCACGTGGAGCTCCGAGAGCAAGAGATGGCTCTAGGGGAGCATATCAGGCCCCAAACCCGAGTGCAGCACCAGCCGCGCAGTATCCAGTGGCTGACTGGAGGGAGGACCAGTACTGAAGGGACCCGGAGGGACCATACAGTATGGTGGTGGCAGATCCCATGCTGTTAATGACTATAGAAGGGACAGCATTGCCCTTCTTAGTAGACACTGGAGCAACATATTCAACCTTGAGAGCAGCACCAGACAGTGCAACGTTGTCCTGCCACACAGTGAACGTGGTGGGTTTTTCCGGGATCCCGACAACTCTGCCAGTGACTGACCCAGCTTTGACAAAGCTGGGCAAGCAGACTTTGAAACACAACTATGTGGTGTCATCGCAAGCGCCAGTGAATCTTATGGGCAGGGACCTGCTCGTGAAGTTGGGCGCCACAATCACATGTTCAGCAGATGGATTATCTGTGACTCTGCCAGGGGGCCAGCATTTTCCGTGCCTGGGAACAAGTTCAAAGACTCAATATCTGCTCCAAGACTGTGAAAGAGCAAAAGTCAATATCTACTGGGGGAGACAGTTTCCGGCACCTTGGACGGTGGGCTCGGGTGAACGGGACAAAAGGGGAACCGGTCCCACGCAGACTACTGGAACGAGCTAAAGGCGCTAGTGTCCAGTTTCACGAAACAGTCGGCTTGTAAAGGGCCCACAGGAGAAGGAGAGGTCCCGGACGCGAAAACAGTGTGGCTGAGAGTCATCAAACGAAAGTGGAAGGAGCCCCGCTGGACTGGTCCATATGAAGTGTCGGCTCGGACGGCGACAGCGGTCCAACTGAAGGGGAAAGGCGACACCTGGTATCACTGGACGCAGTGCGCAGCTGCGCACGAGGGCTTGGTGAGGAAGGATCAATCTCAACTCGACGCAGGTGAAATTGAGCGGCACAATAATCCCTCACACCTGTGCAACGGACCGACCGGTAGTCTACCCGGAAGGTCGAAGAAAGAAGAGCAGCCAAGGAGGAGATCGCCGCGCCAACGAAAAGGAGCGGTACCACACTGAACACCTAAAACAAGAGAGAGGCTCTGATAAAGGGCTTTGAACTTTTTACTACACCATAACATTCACATACCACCATGCCATCACAACAAGTAGACACTGGTGATGAAAGAAGAGTCTCAAAAGCCATCACAATGTTCAAAATTATTATGAGTTTGATGTTAACTATGTTGTTAATCATGGCTATTTGTTTTTTGATTTGTTTGTTGCAGACCGACCCGGGAAACCAGTCTGAGCACGGAGGCCATGCCAGTCCGGCGTTGTTTCATACACCAAGTACATCACACGTGGTCCATAGTGATTTAAGGTTGCGGGCAAGAGTGAAGCGCGAGGTCTCTGGTAAAAAGGATGAGTGTCTCAGCACATATGGTGGTTTAGAATTAGATTATGTTATTGGCTCCACAACTTCCTTTACGTTTGATCTGTGTGATGTTGTTAATTGCAGGGACGTCGGCAGTGCTTGGAGGGGATACAATGTGTGGGTCTGTTGGGATTATTCAGTGAGTACGCACTGTGAGAGGGGAAATCGTCCTTATGACAGCTGGTGCCGTAATTGGGACCAGGTAAGGGGTTACACTGGGCAAAATTGGGAACCGTTAGAATCAGGATCAGAAAACGGGCTTAAACTACAGAGGGATTTCAGCCCCTCTGGAAACGCGTTAACTTTATCATTGGGGAATTGGCATCGCAAACAATCTATGTATTTAATTTTGGGGGTGGAAATAGCGGGGTTGATCCAAAAGGGTTAATTAAAGTTAATTTCCTAGAAAAAACTAATCGCGTACCGTCAGGTAGA